AGGAATGACATAAACAGATTGAAAATAAAAGAAACGACAACCACTACTGTGAAGAATGTGAAGAAGACATACTTTAAGATTACTTGCTCCTCTTGTGGAAATGCATTTTACTCTTTTTTTAACAGTCAAATTATGGGTGCAGGAATAGGTAGAAAAACACTAAGGAAATAAGGTGATTTGGCATTTAATAATGATAACAGAAGGACAAATACCTTATCGCCACCAATTAAGAACAGATCTACTCCAGCTATATTAATGCCATGTTTCTCGCAGAACCCCAACAACATCTCTTTGATTGAGAATCCCGATCTGACTGACATTGTATAGGAGGAGCCGTCTGGAAGACTGATATGGCAACATTTGGAAGACTTCTCTTTCTCAGCTGTAGGTGCCGATGCCCTGCAGGAGTCAGACTTCCAAGAGAGAAGGTTAATATTTATGTAGATATGAACACCAACAAAAAAGGAGACTCAAGAAAGTAGCACACAGCAATACAAGGTGATTACATTATTATTTTCTATAAGGAAATAATGCTGAATTTTCCTTAAAGAGTTTGTAAAGAATGTGGAAGCCGATTAAATATGACAACCTACAGAAAGTCTCTAAGAAGATTTAGTATACAGATGGATAAATGGCATTTTGCAACCTAGTACTATAACATACCCTTACTTTCTTGTTAAAATCAGAACTCTCAGGTGACAGAAAAAAGGATATTTAAGGATAGCCCAGGATAGCCCAATCTTGTCAGATCTTGGAAGTTAAGCAGAGTCACCCTGGCTAGTATTTGGAGGGGGGACAGCCAAGGAATACCTAGGTTGTGATGCAGAGGCAGGCAATGGCAAAACCACTTCATAAGAACCTCAGAAGAGCCCTGCGGGATCAGACCAGGGAGGGCCCCTCTAGTCCAGCATCCCGTCTCACACAGGGGCCAGCCAGTTCCTCTGGAAGGCTAACAACAGGGGGTAGAGACCAAGGCCTTCCCCTGATGTTGCCTCCTGGCTCTGGGATTCAGAGGATTAGTGCCTCTGAATGTGGAGGTACCCCTCAGTCACCAAGGCTAGTAGCCACTGACAGACCATGAATCTATCTAACCCCCTTTTAAAGTTGTTTATTCCTATGGCCATCACTAGATCCAATGGCAGCAAATTCCACATTTTAATCACTCTCTGTGTAAAGTAGTATCTCGGAACGTCTCTAATCATGAAAACCCTACAGAGTCGCCATAAGTCAGCTGCGACTTGACGGCACTTTCCACCACCAATGTTCCTGGACTTTGCTGCGCATTTAATCACAGAAAATGAAAAAGAAGTAAGAGGAGAAGGCTGAGGCAAAGTTGTATTGTGTTAGGTTCCAGAGTTATTTATATACAGGGGAAGGAGAGAAGAGTTTCCTGCCAGAGATCCAGCCAGTCATGTTAACTCCCAGCCTGGGAGACCAGAAAAGATCAGTAAGGCAGCAGGTTTGCCTTGTTTGGTAGTTACAATGAAAGATATCTGTTCTGCTAGCATATCGGTCGGCCCCAGGACTCCTAGCTGGCCAATCTAATAAAAATTGTATTGCTTAAGACAAGAACTAACAGTGCAAACCTAACCAGAGTTATGTTGCTGGACTAAGAAGGGTGTACAATGTAAGGAACTGACCATTTCGGTCATGATCCGAAAGATATGGAAACTTAAGGCTACCAACCTAAACTTCTGCACCATGTGAGCAATATACAGACATTGTACAACTGGGCATTTCATGCTCACTCATAACCAGGCCCCATTTCACTACCTTTAAGATTTCTTTCTACATTGTTATTATTGCTAAAATCATTTCTTCAAACATGCATTCCCTGTCACCAATTTTGGCACGTAACCGAACTCTTATTAATTTTTTCCATATTTAGGTTGCACCCACAATCTCAGAGGAGGAGGGAGGAGGAGCAGCAGCACTGGAAGAGCAAAGGAAAGAGCTGCAGTAAGGAGAGCGCACCGTGACTCAGCATGAAGGTCTCACACAAAATACCAGCCACTGTGCAATCCTATGCGGGAATATTCCGGGGGGAGTAGTGAGGGACTCTGCAGAGGACTGCAGTGCTAACATCCTCCATCTTTTCTGGAACTTGACCCTGCTTCAGTGAATAATTTAAATGGGAAGTCTGGAATCTCATTACATGGGTTTGCCAACCTCCAGGTGGCACCTGGAGATTTCTCACTATTACAGTTGCTCAGCAGACAGCCCAGTTCAGTTCCTCTGGAGAAAATGGGCTGCTTTGGAGAGTGGACTCTATGGGAATTATACTCTGCTGAGGTCCCTCCCCTCTGCAAACCCCTCCCCTCCCAGGCTCGATCCGCAGAATCTCCAGGTATTTCCTAACAATGAGCTGACAGCCCTATTACATTACAACAGATTTTCATCAAAGCAGTGAGAGCAAGACACTGTAAATGTTCAACAAAAAACAGCAAAAGGGAAAATTACATTTATGCCTTGAGTGCACAAAAACCAGCTGTAAACTTTCAGCACTTTCATCTAGGCAAATTTTAACAATTTCTATTAGAGAGACACTCTGAGTGGGATTTTTTGTCAATTTGGCTGTATCACATCCATCTCCAAGTAGACTGCTGCACCAAGTTTCAGGCTGATGGGATGCAATTTCCTCGATTTTCTGATAAACAGAAATGTCAGCAGTGACATAATGCTGTAAAACAATGTGCCTCTTGCCTATACAGCCACTTTTGTGGCTGCATCATTTGGATCGCAGCACAGGACCAAAACGGTTCCTTAAACAAAGAAGCACATGAAGTGCATAGTTTTAACACAGGTGGCTAAGGGGGCAGCTACGGGAAGGGTCTTGCCACTGAGATGATGGGGAAATGCAGTAAGATTTTCACCACAGCACCACTTCATAATTTCTCCATGTTTTAAAACTCTTTTTACAGATGGCATATTTTGCTTTAACTAATACTCAACAGAAAATAAATACATCTCGTATTTCTTGTATTCTTCTTTGCAACTGGGGACTGTGTCTACCAAACTATATTTGTTATTAATCTTTGAGGCTTTAGGGCCAATCTATGAACACATCTTCCCAAAATTTAATTCAGATTAACAAGCAAACCAGTGAGGGGGCATGGCATTGGTGGGCATAGCACTGGGGTGTGTGTGTTAATCTCCCACACCATGCACCAAATAAAATTACGCCCCCATCTCCCCCAAACCCTGCTATTAGCTGCACCAGGGAAAAATACAGGTATAATACAGACATTGGCCCCTTCTGCACTGACAGCTTGCTCCAGAGAATCCGAGGAGTCAAGCCTTAAGGGGTGACTTTGCAGTTGCACGCATTCCCTCTGCACTGTTTTTCCCCTCTTCAGTTTATTTATTTGTGTATTCTGTATGCACTAGCAGTAAAGCCCGTTGTGGAAAGAGGCTCTGGGGGAGTGCTTTGGCTTTGGGCAAACAGTGTCATTTTGCTGTGGTGACCTCAGCAGGGTATAATGACAGAGTCCACTGTTTTCTCCAGAGGAACTGATCTCTGCTCCCTGAAGAGCAGTTGTAATTTTGAGTGATATGTAGCCCTCACCTGGAAATTGGCAACAATTGTTACCCAGGACGAAATGGCTGGTTTGGAGGGTGGAGTCTATGGCATTCTACCTGTCTGATGTCCCACCCCTCCGCAAACCCCACCCTCTCCAGGCTCCACCCCTCAAATCCCCAGGAATTTGCCAGCCTGGAGTTGGCAACCCCATCTCCTTCGCAGCTAACCATCAACCTACCATTATCTGCCCCTTTGACTTCAGCTGACTTCCGCCCTCCCTTCTGCAGAGCAATTGTAATTTTGAGTGGTCTCCAGCCCTCACCTGGAGATTGGCAACAATGGTTCCCCATGAGGGACTGACTGGTTTGGAGGGTGTAGTCTATGGCATTGTACCTGTCTGAGGTCCCACCCCTCCTCAAAACT